CGAACGCCTATACTTTAGAGAAGTAGGCGAGGGAGTTCGCATCCTGAAAGAAGGACGCTATGTAGGGCACCACGGCCGAACAGGATCCATTTTGGTGATGACGGCCGATGGCGTGCGCAGAGGCACAGGAATCCGGCTGCTGAGTTCAGCCGACCGCTGGGACCCAAGTGGTTGGGACCTTTTGCGGGGCTTACTGTGGGAGCACTCCGCGGCAAGGCCTGCCGGTGAGCAGCTGATGCTCGAAGAACGTCTTGTGGTACCACCTCTTAAAGAGGAACGAGTGGCACCACCACCGCAGAGGCGAGTGTACATCAGGAGAGAGGATGTGCACAGGCATGGAGCCACAGAAGGCTGCCCAGGATGCAGGTGCATCTTGGAAGACAAGAGGACGACCTTGCCGCGCACAGAGGCGTGCAGAGCAAGGATCACCGAAGCAATGGAAAAGGATGAAGCTGGGCAAGCAAGACTCGAAGCCCACGCAAAGAAGAGAAAAGAGCGGCAACAGCTTGACACTGTGAAGCCGAAAGTCGTGGCCGACAAGGACACAGACATCACGGCCGAAGACACGGCCGGAGAACCAGAGAAGAAAGAAGAAGCAAAGAGCGCAGGATCGGGAAGCCCGCCGCCAACAGCGGCAGAAGGTGAGAGGACCTATCCCGATGACCCCAAAAAGAGATATGAGATGAAGAGACAAGCAGCCGAGATGGAGAAGAAACCGGTGGCGAAGGCCAAGGTAGCGACAGAGCCCAAGAAGAGAACAGGGGAGCTTAGGATAGATCCACCCGGGGCAAAGGTCAAGCCGAATCCAGCCCAAGGAACAAAGAGGACGGCAGAGACTGCCGTAGAAGACCTTGATCCCAGAGTGGAAGAGAGTCCAAAGAAAACGTCCACGTTTTCTTATGTTCCAGAAACACCACCTGCAGGGTGGAAGCCAGATGCAGCAAGCTTAGTAAAAGAGAAGGAGATCGCAAAGCAGCATCTGAAGAAGATCATTCAAGGAACCTATGAGGCAAATGGCATCGAGATCACTGAGCAAGAGATCAGAGACATCGCGCATTTGAGTATGCAGATGTCAGCAGTAGATATCATGGAAATCTACTCGTCCAAGAGGTTCACCGCGCTTGCAGAGCGGTACAAGTTGCGACCGGGTTTTGCGGTCGACTTGAATGAAATGAAGGAAGATGGAACATACTGGGACTTGAACAAGCCCGAAGACATCCAAGAGGTGCATGACATCGTGGACAGAGATGAACCAGTCCTTTTGACAGGTTCTCCCCCATGTCACATGTTTTCCCAACTCCAGAACCTGAACTGGAAGAACATGGCACCGGATGTGAGAAGGAAGAAGATGGATGAAGCCATCCATCACTTGCACACAAGCGTGGAGTTGTATGTCAAGCAACATCGCGCTGGACGCAAGTTCCTTCATGAAGCACCATGGGCAGCAACCAGCTGGAAAGATGAGAAGGTTGAGGCCCTAGCAAGAGAAGATGGAGTGTTTGTAGTGAAAGGTCCAATGTGCAGGTGGCAGATGATGGCCACCGACCGAAGAGGACTCCAGGGCACCGGCTATGTGAGAAAGGAGACCGATTGGATGACCAACGATGAAGGGTTGGCTCGAGTCCTGCAAGGAGTTTGCTCGAATGAGTCGAGCAAAGGACCATGGCACCGACGCACCCATCTGATCGGAGGCATTGCTAGGCAGGCAGCGGTATACCCACCGCAGCTTGTGAAAGCAGTTTTGAGGAGCCTGCGTGACACGCTAGCAGAGAAGGGTGAGCCGAACACCCTTGATCTGTTCGCAGCAGGTCCAGTTCCAGAGATGCCTCTGATGGACCCAGAGTTCGAAGAGGTCTACATGGATGATGTGAACGGCGGCATTTTGCCAGCCGAGAAGGTAAAAGAGGCAAGACGCCTTGAAATGGACTATTTGAAAGAGAAACATGGCGTTTATGTGCCTAGGCCGAGAGCCGAGTGTTTTGAGGAAACGGGGAAGCCCCCGATTCCAGTCAGATGGTTGGACACCAACAAGGGAGATCCAACAAACCCGAACTACAGGAGCCGATTAGTTGTGCGTGAGATAAAGGCAAAGAAGACCAAAGAAGAGCAATTGCCAGCCAACTTGCTTTTCAGCAGCACGCCCCCACTAGAGGCGATGAGACTGCTGTGCTCGTTGTGGGCAGCAAAGAGAAAGTCCTGCCGCAACCAGCCGCTGAAGCTGGGCCTGTGGGACATCTCACGAGCACACTTTTATGGAACCCCGAAGAGAAAGATCTACATAGAGCTGCCGCCTGAGGACGAAGCCAGCAAAGATGGACAGACCTGTGGACTTCTCGTGAAGTCAATGTACGGGACACTGGACGCTCCAAATATCTGGCAGACGCACTATACAGAGACTCTGCAGAAGGCTTGTTTCCGCAGAGGGCTGTCGAATGCGTCAGTCTTCTACCAAGAAGCTTGGGACGTCAGAGTGATGGTGCATGGAGATGACTTCCTAGCATTTGGAGATGCCCAACACTTGGAGAAGCTCAGCCAAGTCCTCAAAGATGCTTATGAGCTGAAATGTCTCGGAATTCTTGGAGACGAGGATGGAGACCGAACAGAAGCATATTTTCTGAATCGGTTGATCCGAGTCGAGAAGAAGAACGGCAAAGGATCGATTGTGATCGAAGCCGATCGAAGACATGTTGATCTTTTGATCCAGGCATTTGGTCTGGAAAAGGCAAATGGTGTGGAATCACCAGATGTCAAGAAGTCGGCAGATCAGCAGATGCTGGAAAGCCGCAGTCCGCTGCTTGATAAGAGCGAGGCATCGAAGTATCGTTCAGCTACGATGCGTGCTGCGTATCTGTCCCAAGATCGACTCGATATTGGACACGCAGTCAAGAACCTTGCTCGAGGTATGGTGTCGCCGACAGAAGCCAAACTTGCAGACTTGAAACGTCTCATCAGGTACTTGAAGAAATACCCTGATGTTGGGCAATGTTTTGGCTCACAGCAGGTACCCTCAAAGCTGAGGGTCCAGGTCGACGCTGACCACGGTGGAGATGCTGTGACACGCAAGAGCACAACTGGCATGGTTGCCATTTATGGCACACACGTGCTGAAACACAGCAGTAACATCCAATCCACCATAGCCCTTTCGACAGGCGAGAGCGAATACTACGCACTCGTTAAGGGCGGATCTGTGGGCTTAGAACTTCAAAGCCTATGCGCAGATCTTGGCTTGGATTTGGAAGTCACCATAGAGGGCGACTCCAACGCAGCCAAAGGAACTGTCAACCGAGTGGGTTTGGGTAAAGCCAGACACATCCAAACTCGCTACCTATGGTTGCAAGAAAGCGTTGCCGAAGGGCACTTGAAAGTGCACCACGTTCCAGGAGTCAAGAACAAAGCTGATGTGTTGACCAAATCGGTTCCTGGGGTGCAGCTTCGCAAAACAATGGAGGACTTACAATATGCCTTCCTCAGTAAGCGAAGCAAAGGACAGTTGGATGTTTTGGAGTAAGGTCCCTGGCCAAGCTCCACTACCACAACTGAGAGTGGCTTAGCAGCGGGAAGTTTCACATGTTTACCTTGACTTGCGCAGCAGTACAGTGCTTTGCAAGAGGAGGAGTGTTTGTATGTACAGCCCATAAATACTCCGCTAGTTCATTGCAGACATGCGACTCACGACATGTTTTGGCTTAATGTAAAAAGGCGTTCCGAAACGTCGACTTTGTGTTTTCAATATGTATAATGTATATTACACAGTATATATTATGTCCCTTCACCTCAACAAGGAGTCCTAGCCCCTGGTTCGGTACTTGGACCCAGCCGTGTTGCCCTCGGTGGGGAAAGGTACAGTAAAGGACTAGCCCGGCAGGAGTCTCTCATTACGGTGACCCGCAGATACAGCTGGACCATGACAACTTGACAACCAAACCATTGGGCGCCTCGGGGCGTCTCCCATTTTGAGGCACTGCACACGAATTCGAAGAACCCTAAACATCACCTCCCAAGAAAAGATTGCAACAACTCTGGGACACCGCCTGGACGCCACAGCTCTTCGAGCGGCTTAGCATGTGGTGTCGCCGACACATTCGCTCCTCGCGCTTCGCCCAGTTGCCTAGGCTAACAGCTTCCTGCCATGGAGTGCTTTGCCGGCCTAGCAGCCGGAGGCTTCGCGGCCAAGGCGCAGCCACTTTTTGACGAACAGACAAACACCTCAAGCAACCTCGGGACACTATATGACACTGTCTACTATTGTAGAGGTTCACTTTCAGGTTTTGCATTGAGTTATCTAGACATATGAACTGGTGCTTCAACTACGGATTCGGATTGCTATGTGCCTACTTTGTGACTACTTGCTAGTGGCAGAAGTTCTGCTTGACGACACACTGTGCATATTGGGGGAATCAGGTTTCAGTCTGTTTTCCGAAGCTTGCCCAGTGTGCTATATCTCATGGCGGCAATGGCCATTTGATCAACCCATATATAAGTGCTCTTTTGACAAGATCCTGCTGAACGCACGCTTGTTCTGCTAGTTGCAACGACCTTTCTCATCGCTGTGTTTCTTAAAGATATTGCAGCATTGCATATTTGGTTGCACCTCGTCTTGGCAGACGCATGATCCACCAAGGTTTGCACCTCTCACCGGGGTTTTGGGTGATTCGACCACCGGTGGACCACCGTTGATGGGATAGGCTCAGAAGACCCACGACCGGACCATGTCGACCCAGTGCCATTTGTTGGTCTTTGCACCTCGAACCTTTGCACAATGAGTCTGCCAATTGGTTTGTGTTATTTCGTCGATGTTGGTTGACAACTGTTAGCACTCAATGAATGACCACAAAACATGTTTTTTTTTGTTGCGGCGGCTATTTTCTAGCTCTTTCACCATGTATACTGAGCTCTACCTATTTATATATCATATCATCTATCTATTTTTGAGTATGATGCCACCCCACCGGCCCTCTCCGGCGGGAGACTTCTGCCCTCCATGTGCACAGGAAGCTTACATGTACAACCGAGAGAACTTCCTCTATGATCGAAGTCTTCGACGAAGGAAAGAGTTTCAGGTGCCACGGGGTTCAGTTCGGAACGGGCGACGCGTCTGAAAACGGTGTCCATTTTCACTGTCACCGAGGTCACTGAGCCGGTGCCCTTGGCCCCTCCAAAGCTCTACCGTTCGTAGTCGCGTTCGTTGATGTGCCGTCCCGTCCGCGGTCTACACGCCGTGCTTCACGGTCACACCAGACGCGGTCAACGCGCCGTGGACAGGGTCCGCCCTCACCTGGTGACAAGGGTGGCGCATCGAAGGAAACCCAAAAGGAGTCCGTCCGCACAAAGCCATGGAGCAGAAAGAGTTGGACCCGAGCTTCCTCGAGTTGGAGCCACTCTCAAGTTTTTGCTGGTTGAAGGCCCAAGGAGTAGGCAGAGTGCCCTAGGAAGTTGCTTGATAGACAGCGAGTTACTCGCTGATGGACACCACTGGTCCACTCAACATACAATTTTTTGGGGTGTCGGTGTCAGTGTCATCCACTGAACTTGCATGATCTACAATGTGATGCTTCCAATACGAGAGAAACCATGGTCAATACTGTAGTTGCATTATTTTAGTATTGCACACATTTTGCACAATCAGGATTTTGCACAATGCAGGATGTTGTCCATCAAGATTAGTGCTGAAGCATTCCCAGGAGCGACCCAGGGACCCAGGGCTAGGGTGACTTGTGGATGGCCTTTGGCCTTTGGTTCCCTGCAGACAGTTTGTGCTTGGTTTACGAATCGGAACACAGCCATGGTCCAGACTGCGCTTGATTTGTAGTTTACAGTGTGGGGTAGTCATATGCTTGTTCTCCCACCCAACTGCACCCCACATGATTTGGCTTGACTAACCCCCAGGCAAAAGATCCGCAAGTTAGTCACGTGACACTTCCTGGTTAGGAAAAAGCGTAGGGCTTCAGCATCAGCTTCACATGGTCGGACCTGCGGCCCCAGTTTGTGGGAACAGCCGTGGCAACGGCCGTAGTAACAAGGTGCATCGCTACGAGTAGCGGGCCCAAAGAAGAGGTTTTCTTGTTCCTAGCACTTAGTAATGCATTGTTACTAGTAGCGATGCACTTGTAACAGTACTAATTACTAGCAGCATAAGCTTCACATGGCGGGACCTGTGGCCCCAGTTTGTAGGAAAAACCGTGGCAACGGCCGCTGCTTCCAGTTTCCTGTCCGTTGCCCGTCGCCGCCGTCGTAGGAAGAACCGTCTGAGTCTGTCGGCAGCTCCGATCAGGTGCAGAACTTCCGCGTGGCGCAAGCGGAGCTGTGGCGCAGGGACGTGCGGGATTTGATCTCCTTGACGGAGCTCTGGCTGAACGAGTGAGAGATGTATAGACATAGGATTGATACAGGTATCCTAGGATAAACACCAAAATGAACAGAGTTCAACGAGCCGAAAGGAAAAGACAGAGAGAGAGGTCATATCCCCCTTGATTGCTCCTTTATGAAATGAAGATGTTTTGCATTTATGAAATGACCACCCTGTTGACCAAACAGGGTGGTCATTTCATAAAGCCGAATATTTCAATTTTCAGAAGATTCTCCAACATAACGATAGCATGTTCAATCCATATATATATATAGAAAAATAGCGTTAGTGAAAGCTAGCCCTTCAATGCTGGCCGCATCATATTATAAAAACTGTTTGTGGCAAAAAGAGGTTGATCTTGGACAGGTCATTTTACAGAGAACCAACTGGATTGAAGAATGCACTGATGTAGCATACGGGTAAGATTCGGCTCAGAATCTGAGCGGCTGAGCGCGCCAAAAGTGTGTGCCAATCCTGAACACTCCATGTCATATTAATCTGTATATGTCAATTTGTGTCAACCCTTGGTCCTTTGATTCTATCATTTTTCATTTTGTTAAGCATGATGTGCCATTCAATCAAGCCACACATAGTGGTATCCTGCCCCAGTTATTCTATATAAGCGTTGGTTTTTCATTTTATACAAACAAATGCTCAGCAAATCATTTTATAGGCACCTATTTCTAAAAATTGTTTGCCACAGAAAAGGTTACAAGCAAGGGGGATATAGAGGTACACATATATATATATAACGAATATCATCTCGAGAGACAGAGAGAGAGGGAGAGAGGCAGGGGTTGAATGGATGAATGCATACACAGATGGGATAAGAATGGTATGAACGGCACACTACAATTCAATGGAGGATGCCCCTCTGATTGATGAGACGATACAGCATCGGTGAATCAGAGGTCTTGAGTTTCCTTTTGCAATCGAGTTGTTGATGTTGTTGAGACAGAAACACAGCTCTTGTGAGACTTTAGTTTCCTACATGCTCTTCCCTTGCAGCCAGGTTCTAGAGTCTCAGATTCTCCCTGACATCCTGTTCCTGACATCCCAGGAATACAAGATGCATGTGTACCTCCTAGTGAATGTGCTTTTGCTCGGCATCACCGTGGCGCTCTGGTGTCAGGGTAAGCTGCCCCACTCGACGCCCGTGTCCCGGAGATAGCGATGGAGGGGTGGCTTCGGGGCAGTATCCCCAGGTCAAAAGAGATGGGCTGGGAAAATCATCTTCGAGGGCTGTGGCTCTGACGCTTTGGGGTTGTGGTTCAAGTGAAGGTGTGGACAGCAGGGGTCCGGTGATTGACCCACAATTGGACTGGAGCAGTTCCACATGTACAGTGGCACATCACCTCGTTCCAATCCGCTGAAGTCCTGCCAGCTGGTCCAGAGGGCAAAGGGCCTGAAAACCGCATGAATTGAATGGTGGTTATTTTTGTAATTTGTTCTAGCAGACTTCCCAGTCCCCCATCTCATGCAAGCTGGATGTGAAAGGGTTCTTTGTTCTCACAAAACGCGCAAGAAACGGCCACCCTGAAACGTCACCGCTGGGTCTGTGGTTGGTCGCTGGGTCGCGATCAACGTGGTACATCGTTTTGATGATATGATGATATTTGATCGGACACACATGCATGGATGTCAAAGTGTAGGCACCCAAAAGTAATCGCATGTGAACATCTCCCAAGTAGATGCTTTCTTGAGCTGCACATGATCTGGGGGTACATGTTACTGGCCATGCTATACCCAAGGTTTGGTTGATGACGGGGAATGCGCTTGCGATGGCTGGGGCCTTCTCCTTCATCTTGCTGTCCATTTGGATGGCCATGTGCCTGGGCGGCCGGCGGGTTCTTTTGCCGGCTTTGACTTGATGCATGAAATTGTTGGGAAGAGGGGGGTGCGGAAGGTAAATGAAGAGCTTCCTGAAAAGTTCATGTGGGCTTTGAACATGAACCCTTGCAATGGACATTTTCACAGTCCCGTGTTGGTTTGTGTTTGTATATTCACTGTAGCATCGTGACCTTGGTTTCAAACATGTGTCCAACCACACATGGCTTGCCTACCAGCCGCCCTTGGGGAGAAGAGAACGTCTACAAACACTTCCCGGCCGAGCCGACAAAGAACCTCTCCACTTCGCGAAAGACTCAGTCGCTGGTCTTGGGGGGTCCTCTCGACCGAGCGATCTAGGCACGCAGCAGTCTCGGCACAGAGCTTTGAAGCTCGGCTCCTGACGCAGATGGTGCGCTTGCCGATCCCGACCTGGAAGGAGCTGAGCTTTGGAAGACGTCACTGGCTTTTATGAGCATCCCAAAGGATTAGATCGGAGGTGAACATTTCCCAGAGACCCCAGAGAGGTGAGAAGCCTGCCTTCAACTTTCCTCCTCATTCCTCCTCCTCCTCCTGTGGTTTCGCGCAGGCGCCGCGCTGCAGCCCAACAAGTCTCCTCCTTTATGCCCCGACCGAACCGGGGCCAGATGTGCAGGCCAATGTATTCCCAGAGGGTCATGTCACCTGTGGGGTTTCTCGGGATTCAACTCGGCAATCCAGGAGGTGGAGGCCTGTCGAACCTACGCCTCGGAGTTCGAACGCCTGGAGACGAAGCAGCTGTTTCGCCCCTCGGTCGGGACGTTCACGTCCCGGGTGCGGGTGCGGACGTGGCCCGAAGTGGTGGGGGGGCGAAGAGCTTGGTGAAAGATACATCAGGTATCCACATAGAATCTTACAAGGGTGGAACGAACCTGCTGAGAAAGGACGATATATATTACAGGTGATTCTCAGATGTCATGTTATGTCCTGTTCCCAGAGTGTGAAGATGTTGGACGTTTATAGTTTCCAGTATGGCGATGAAGATCGGCGCTTTAGTTTGGGTTTGACAGGGCCTTGAGTGTAGCGATCTTCGGATTTCCCATGCGCGTAGTGCTGCACCACCGAACACATGGCGGCATTTCTATGGGGAAAGAGAGATCATCGAACTAGGAATAACACAGAAGAAAGACGACAACACCCACACCACACTGCTTCGACTTTCGCAACAGCGCCCACCATGTCTCACTGTCCCAGGAATTCCCTTCGTCATGGGCAAACAAGAAGGCCTGGTCCCTCCAGACCCGGAGCCCGCGAGCGGAGCGAGCGCCTCGCATGATGATGATGAGAGCCCCAGCACTGCATCCAGGCCGGGACGGTTAGGACGGTCAGGACGATCACCACGGTCACCGACCCCTTCGGAGCAAAGGAATTGAACTTTATGGGGGAATTCGATTCTGAGGGGTCACAGGAGTTGGCCGGGTACACGCCGTATGTGGCGAATGCAGTGTTTCCTGGGTGAAGGCCATGGTGGGGAGAGTAGCTGGACCTGCGCGCTGGGGTAGGGGGCATGTTGCCGTGTGTTGGTTCAGAGCTTGCCTGTAATTCTGGGGCAATTGACATAGAAGATAGCGTGGCCTACAGATTGCAACAAACAAGGGGATTCTATTTTGATATTTTGACCATCCCCCGTTGGTCGCAACCTTGTCTTCAAGTTCTGTCGACCTGTTGACCTTGCAAGGAGAATCCTTGCCCCACGATTTCTTGATCTCTTCCGGGTGTACTTGCCAGACAGTGTTCAAGCTGCCACACCTTGGCAAGGTTAACGCAAAACTCCTGTTGGTTGAGAACAATTTGCGGGTCACGGTCAGCCTATAGTCGTCCACTGTACATATCTACCCCCAGGAAAACGAACTTGGAACCTGAAAACCACTGGGTTGTAGAGGACAATGGAAGACCCCAGTCTGGTCCATGCCTTCATGCTAATCATAATCTCTCTTGTCTGGAGCTTGCCATCCCACCGGACATCAACTCCAGTCCTCGATCTTGGGGACGGTTGAGGCGTTTCATGGAGGAGGCTCATGTGGACCCGTGGGGCTTGGAGAGCACCTCGTGCTGAGATGAGCGGAGCGGCCGGGATTGGAGAGGTCTCCTCAGAGCGTGGGTTTTTGGGGTCCGAAACTGAGGAACTTTGAGGTCTCAATTTGAGGCTCGCTAGACCCAGATCCGCCTCATCCATTTGGGATGAAGTGACCATTTGGAGATCACAGACGTGGACCTACTTAAATTGGGGGGTTTTGGGGTTGTTTTTGACCAACAGACGGGGGCACCGATTCCTTCCGTCTATCCGTGTCATCCTCCGTGTCGAGTCTTCACGAGGGAGCGAGGCACCGAGGCTCTGCTTGTGGCTTTAAGGCTTAGAGATGTGAGAATTTGAGCCGAAAAAAAAGAGACTCAAACGGATGAGTCCTGGGTTTGGATTCAACTCACACGGATGAGTCCTTGGTTTGGTTTGGCGAGCCGGGTGCATGTTGAGCCGGATCTCTTGCTCCTTGGATGTCCACAGAGAGAGAGAGAGAGATAAAAATCCTGTGCTGATCGAATCTCAAGATCTGTGATGATCTGTGTATATATAATTAATGATAATATATGATATACGCATGATATAAGCAAATCAATATAGTATAGGCGATTGTACTCCTGATATCTCTCCATCACCCGACACAGCTTTGTTTGTTTGTTTGTTTGTTTGTTTGTCTGGATATAGTGGTCGTCAACGAACGAATCGTGTGGGAACTTGCATGTTTTTCGCGGGAGTTGTGGCATCCTGGTGTTTCAGGTTGATGACCTAGGGGAACAGTCTACAGACGTCCGTCATCTTGTTCACACTAGGATTTCGGGTTTTACTGTTGGTTACTGTGTATGTTGTATTATTTTGTTCTCTGGTATCACTAAAGGACAGTACTGCACAACCGTGCAGTTACAGCTGTGTGGTCTACACTGAGTCTACACATTGATATACTTACGTGAAACTAGTAAAAACTTCTATTTTCATCTGATGAACTTTGCAACGCCTACGACACCCAGTATTTACGACACATCTCACATCGAGTTCTTGAGTCCTCTTCCTTCGACCCTGGCTGTCCAGTAGGTTTGCTGAGGCTCTCTGACACAGGTTTGTTTGTACACGCGGAGCACGGGTTGTTTTGTAGATGCGGTTCCTGAGATCTTTTCTTCACGAGGTGTCATCCTCTTCATTTGGACTTTGTTTGGGGTGTTGCTGTAGAGTGAGCGTTGCGGATTACGGTTCGTAAAAGCCAGAGTGACCCTCCTCCCAACGACATTCTCTAACTGGTGCTTAGTAAGGAGGAGGGAATTGCCCTTCCAACTTCCCACTAGCAGCAATTCGTACTCATTCCATCCCTTCTTACTGATCACACTGGCTTTGTTGTTTTCACCCTCCGCCACCTAAAAGAACCGCGGAGGCACTGGAGCCAAATTGCCGGAGCTCGGATCTCGCATGGGCCATGGCATCATGGCGAGACGGATAGGCTCAGGACGCTAAGGAGAAGTATTGAATAGGGAGAAGTATATATTTGGTGTGGTTTAGTAACCAGTTTTGATGTGGTTTGATGGTTCTAAGGAGATGTATTCGGTTTAGACCCTCGAAATTCTCGCCCAATGGCTGGGTTAGTTTGACTGTAGACCCATGTCCCGAACTGAACCCATGGCGGTCGGGATGCCTGGGAGGTGTCTCTATATGTTAATGCACACTCGACGAGGTATCGATATGAGAAGAGCGAACATCGGAGAATGCCTAGAAAATGGTCCTGAGAAGGCAGGGTGGTTTTGAGTAGTTCAGGATAGATGAGCACCACAAGGAAATACATACATTGTATCTGATTACTCAATTTACAAGTGTCGTTGTGGGGTTTGGGGACCCTTTCCAAGGCATGCACAAGTACCGCCACGTGAAGCTGGCACGGCAAGCCATGGCCTTTTGGCAAAGCTATGATGCCTTTGCGAGGACGCGCGTGTATTTGTGGGTGGTTTGTTTCTACATGGGTCGTTTGTTCCAGAGGCGACCTGTGGGATGTGTCCAGAATCCACTCCCTGTAGGAAACCTTAGCGTTGGGGAATTAGCAGGTCCCAGCGTTGGACGATCATTCTCGTGCAGGTCCCAGTGAATGATGCTCTCTGAGCAAACGCAACAGATGGATGTCGAGAACGTCCACTGGACTCTCATGGACTCTGGACTATGAGAAGCACAACAACCTCTCACCCCAAACCACGACACCCCAAGCCCAGCGACCTCTGACCACATGGAACTCCAGAGGTGCGGGCTGTTGGGCTGTTTACCCTCCGCATCACAAGAGTTCGACTTGGAAGTAGGAGAAAAGCCGGAGACCAGAGGTTGGTCTGAGGCTCTGGTGGCCCATCTCCGTTCCGGTGCGCTGGTCCCATGAGTGACCGGTCAATGAAGAGACTGAACCGACGATTTGCTCACTGGAGACTCTGCGTTGCATGCTCAAACCGATTCTATCGGCGTGCTCGATCCGGATCGGATTTTTTTGCCTGGTGCAGCTGATGTAGGGTGGGGAGGTACAGAACACAAAGAAGCGGCTGAGCAGCAGAAGATGGTCATATAATGTCATATAATGTCACATATATATATATATATGTATATGTCTTTTGTTCAAGAGATTTAAGGGGTTTCTGGGGGGATCTTGTAGGGATGACGCCGCGGATGATGCCTCTGTGGTGGCAGGATTTGTATGAGCATCGGCGTGAACCAGCTCCTCAATGCCGCTAGCTACTTCATCCTGGCCTACTACATGACTGAGGCAAAAGGGTTTGGGGAGGCCACATGCAAGGCGACATGGAGGGTCCTGTTGGTTGGACACCCTGGTTGAACCACCTTTGAATGAACAGAAGAGACACGAACAGAAGGAGGTCAACCTACCAGGCATTAGTAAGGGGTTCGGGTGCCATGACCCACAGCCATGACCATCGCATGCCGTGTCTGTCATCCCAGTCCTGGAAGGCGAAGGTGCCTTCCTCAGCCACTTATGGCGTGGTGGTGCTTACAACCATGGCCGAGACACTCAACCGCCTGGATATGCGGCTTGGGCCAGAGTGAATATTGAGTAAACAATTCTTTGGGGGGGCCAGGGCAAAGTCAAGGAATGAATTTGTGAGTGGGTTGAATGACATCTGATAGAATATAGATTTTTTTATTTAAAGAAAACATGAATATGTTCATGGTTTTGGATCAGCAACTGGGCAGCACCATGGAGACGTTCATTTCTAAGGAATATATAGATCTAAAGGTTTGGGATCGCACCGTAATATGAGCAGACCTATGTATATGCTTTACAGGCATTACATGTGTTGCTTTGTCACACCTCCGCACTGTTGATCAAATGAACAGGGATGCTCGACTGCCCAAACCTTGCAACCCCCCCTGCTTTTTGAACTCTTGGACACACAGGAGCTCCTTCGACCATTTCAGGATTCGTTTTTGGCCGATGCTGAGATACGATTTGACCAGCTGACCCAACTGACTTGGTCAAGCATCCTGGTCAGTAAAGATTTGGAGCACATCGTTTTGATTGACAGTTCGACAGGAGGCATGCATCAATGTGTACACTGACTGCGCCTAATTACTGGTATTGGGTGGTTGACCAAGCCTTGGCCTCACTGCATAGGGTCCCTGAACTTGAGCCGTCACCCTTTGCGCCGGCGTTGCACGCCTGTAGCGTGTTTTGTTGTTGTTGTTGTTGTTGTTGTTGGGGAAAGCACATTTGACTCATTCTTTTGTACATCAATCTTGGTGGATCAAAGATCCTTTGAGAGATGTTGGGACTGGGACATGGAAGGTGGCGGGACATTTGAGAAGAGACCTCCCCACACATCCACATAATGGCAGAGCACCAGAGGTCCTTGACCTGGTGGCAGCTGCGACTGATGCAACTGCCGGGCAGCTCAGAGGTGTGCTGCATTTGTTCAACCACAAGAGGACAATACAATAAAGCAACTGAACGTGCCCTTCTTACAGGTGAATCAAGAATCTGAAAGACAATATGTAACTGGAGAAGTGCTGTTTTCCTCAGCTTGCTGATGCTCATTTGATTTGGTGTTCTTGTTTTTGGAGATTTCTTCTCGCAAGGCTTCTTGCTTTCGTCTTCGTTGTCGTACCCATGGGAACGGACATGAAACCGGGTGGCGACAAAGACTCCCCCGGCCGATGAAGCCTAACATCCACCATACTCTTCGAGGTTCCTCTACCTCGGCCCTGCCATTGCCACAACCTCCTGCTGGGCTTGGGTGGAAGATGGATGGGAGCTCGCGGAGGGTCTGGTGGTGTGCGCCTTCCTGGCACATGCGGCGTGCCTGGGCGCCAGGGGTGACTGGGATGGGCTAGTTGCAGTGGATGGGGCGCTTTGAGATGGCACAGGACAGGCCCTCCCGAAGGATCAGTGCTTTGGGGCATGGGCTTGAAGCACCGCCGCATGAGAAGTGTAGGATCCGTCCCTTGGGGTCCCAGCGAAAAAGAGATCCAGGATCAAACACATCACCAAGGACCAAGACGACACCATCTGCATCCTCACCCACCCAACCCCTCCAGAGGAAGCAGACTTTTCTCGTTTCCACATGACCTGTGGATGAGGAAGTTCCTGGATTCCACATGAAATTCGACACGCTCAAACAGCGCGGTGCTTGCCAGGTATTTGTTGACGGTGAACACTCTTTGCCACATGCACCTGGAGCACAATGGTGCCATGCTGCCGGTGGTCTACCGCTCGGTGCTCTACTTGGACGTCTTTGGTTGGTCCAGCCAGGCGGGTCGCGTCGAGGTCGATGAGAGCCGCACGCCACAGCGAAACCCTGGTCTCACCCGGTCTCAGATGGGATCGAATTCCTTATGGATTCTTTACACTCTTTTTGGTCGTGTTTCTTTGGGGGTGCTTCTTTGGGGGTAGTCTTTGGTGGGTCCTCCTGGGTAGTCCCGGTTCTTTTTACACTCTCATGGTTTCTTTGGTGTGGTTGGAGATGTTCGGAGTGGGTTGGAGGCGCCGAAGCGGAAGCGGATGCGAAGGGGAGCCTCTCAAAGCACATTTCTTGACTCACCGTAGTGTGGTGAGAGACAGGGAGCATCCCCGCCTCCATTATGCGGAAGCAGTGAAAGAAGTCTTCTCGATGTGCAATTACCTTTGGCTCAGTTCCTGTCAAGAATATCTGAATCCATCTGAATCCTGTAGATTCTACACGAGATTGAATCATCCCCACCGCGCCTTTCCCCCCACCCAGGTACTGCAAGAAAATATACGACAAGACAGAATAGAAACAAATTAAGGTAAGTTAATCAGGACCCTTACCGCCCTGATTGCACCATATTGCACCTTTTCTGTTTTTGTCTTCTTGATTTCGGTTTCACCCGCTGCCACGGCCTCAGGCCCGGCACCAGCGGCCGTCCGGCGCCGACACGCCCCGGACCGACATCTCGACGGCGCGGGAGCTCGATGGGGAGGAAGGAGTGGATGGATATGGGTTGCTGGAGACATCTTTGGACCCTTACTGACAGGCTTCGCCCACCGGCGATGCCCGCACTGCGGGTATCGGGTCTTTACACAACAAAATGGATGATTAGCGATCAGCACAGCTTCTGACGCCTGCGCATACAAACTCCCACACAGGTGTGCGCACGAGGGTCTGATGGAAAAGGCCTGGCAACCTCAGCCTGCCTGTAGTGGAAAGCGCTAAAAATACTGTATTTTTGAATATTTTTGAGCATTTTCCGGCCTAAAGCTATCTGCGCTTAGGCTAGAAAATGCGCAAAAATACAGTTTTCTCAGCGTTTTCCATCACAAAGTCCTGATCTTTGAAGAAGCCATATAAGCCCAGGTGGTGCTAGAAATGTCGGCCGCACGACATTTTGAACATCACCAGGACGTATGTATTTACGTGAAAAGCAAGAAGGCACATAACAAATGATCAAAAATGGCTACTGTAAAGCTGTATCTCTAGAGAAGAAAGTATGCTAAGAGGAGAGGAAGTTTTGAGGTAGCAGTTGTGTCGAGCACCATTGGCATCATCAGAGTACGAGCAGCATTATTCATAAACTAGACATACATTTGGCAAAAACACTGTAATTTAGTGTTTTGCGCCTACTCATACACCAAAGGATTTGCACCTTTTCTGCTGAGACTCTGCTGATGCTAATGGTGCTCGACCAAAGTTTCTCCTCTGCTGCAAAGCCGGGTGACGTGGACTGCGGAGCTGGCGAAACAACTGAACGCCCTCCCCCAGGAAGTGCGGGGTTTCCTGCAGAACCCCGCCGACGATGCGAGCCTGTTGGAAGCGCTCGTGGCCTGTCTGAGCCAGAAAGCCTCGGTGCGGACAGAAGAGCACGCTGACCCGCTGGCCGGGGGCAGGCGCGCAAGCGCGCCCGTGGCGCCAGACCCGCTGGGAGGCCAGGATGTTTTTTCCACGGCACCGTGTCTTTGTGTTTGAAAAGAGGCAATGCAGCACCAGCCACGACAGGTCGTGTCGCGGGCGCAGCGCGCGACCGCGCGCAGGTGGAGCGGCAGGCTGTGGGATCTTCGGACAGCAGAGGGTCGGAGGCCCGTTTTGTTTTTTTGTTGTTGTTCGTCGGGTTGCGGCGCGTGAAACCAAACCAGGCACCTTGGGCACCGGGCAAGAACATGGATAGATAGAGAGATAGATAGATAGATAGGTAGATAGATAGATAGAAGCCATGATCATTGATTGTGATAGTTTGGTCTTTGATTGTGATAGTTTCATTTTTTCTTGTTATGAGTCTTAAACCACATATCTGTAACTTATGGTGGAGTTCCTGAACACCCTGAGTTGCTTCATGATGGTGTTTCTTTGCAGCAATGTAAATTTGAGGTGTCAAGCCAAAACAGGGGCGGGGGCGGGTCGTGCTACTTAAAGCCTGACACTAGGCAAATTGGACCAAGTCATCAGTCAGAGAGTTTGGCATATATTTTTAATGATCTAGGTTGTCTGATCTAGGTTGTAGCAACTTCTTTGTGAGCAAAAAATTGTAGACATTGTAAATTATGTTTAATGTAGTTTGGCATTTTACATCCATGATCTTGCTTTGTGTGAGTTTCTTTGAGTAAATGTATTGATATGTTTGATTTTGCAAGTAAACAGAAACAGTTTTGAGACGCACCTGTCTGTCAGGCCCTGTCAGGAATGAAGCAATACTAAGGCCACTAAGGAACTAGACATCTTCAACTTCAAGAAGGCAATTTTTTAACTTTCCACCGAATAGGTGGATAGCACCGAACAGGTGCTTCTTTTTTTTGGGGGGGAGGGGCAACACCAGTGGAGCACTTAGTTTCAGTCCTTGCACATATGCAGGACTCATACTTCCAGGCT